CCTGAGTTCCTACCTTGGGCTCCCTGATGAACTGCGACCTGGGCGTTGTAAGCTGAATAAACCCTTTCCTACCCAAGTTGGTATTGGTCAGAGTGTTTTGTCACAGCAATGAAGAACAAACTAGGACATTAGTTTACTTTAGAACAAGCATCTAGCCTGGCTAGCATCCCCTGTGTGCAGAAGGCAGGGGCAAGGCAGGTCTCTGGAGGCAGCCCAAGGGCCCCACAGTCTGTAGCAGAGTCCTTCTGCTGTTGGGCAGAACAAGTGTCTGGCAGTTCAGGGGGCCAAGTTTACCTCAGAAAAGGAAGCTCAGAGAGGATTAAGAGCACTATCCAGACCTGGTTCCTACAAGAGGAGGAGGCATGTGGGAGGCATCTGGCCTACTAAGCTACTGGTCAACAGCAGAGCTGTCTGGCTCCAGGGTCTTAAAATTCTACAGTCTACATCCTGTAGAATCCAGGTCAAGGGCCTGAGGTCTGGCTGATCAGCCCCATCATGCCTGCCCAGCTCCACCAATTTCCTAAAGGGGTGACAGGAGCCAAGAGATGCCACATAAACAAGCTGCATTGGCTGTGAGCTCCCCAGCATCTGTGCAAGGGTGCGTCTGGAGCCAAGAAAGTGGCAGAGCATGGAACCCCAGAATTCACCCATGTACTCAGATCCTGCTGGATTGGTGGCAAGGAGTTTGGGTTGGGGACAGGCAAAAGCAGCAACACATTCCAGAAAATTCAGGGTTCTAGATGGGTTTTTTTCTGATAACAGAAAGCAGTGGGACTATAAAGACGATTCCATCTCAGAACAAAAACCTTTCATCTCCCAAAGCAAGCCATTCCCAGAACCTCACTGCTGGAGGAAGAACACTCCTTCCAGAAGCCCGGGACCAGCCAGATGTTAAAAGCATCCATCTACAAATATGACTTGATGTTCTCAGCAAAATTCTGAACCAGAGGAAATGTCCCCAGGGTCCTTGTCTGCTCCAAACTATTGGTTCCAGACTTGCCTTAGCCCGTCCAGGGTGGCACCCTACTGCTGACACTGCCAGGACTTAAACCTGGGCCCTGGAGCTCTATCCAAGGCCCTCTCTTTTGCTGCTGCTGAATAGCAGTAGTAGGGCTGAGACAACACCAGAGTGGGTAGTAGGTTGGCAGCCTTGCGCAAAACTAAGCTCTGTACATCTCCATGAGATTAGCTGTTCACGCAGCAGAGATTTTAAGGGAGACAGAGAAGGCTAACATTATCAGTCTTGAGAAATATTTGCTCATCTGATTCCCAAAGTAGCTAAAAAACCTGACAGGTCCATTCTCTGCTTCAAAACTAAAGGCAGAGACCACTTTCTCTGCAGGGGACCAGGTTAAACAATCAAGGCAAGAGGGGATCTGAGTTCAGTCCAGCCTTACAGTGAGCAGGGTGAACACACAGGAACACACACACACACACACACACACACACACACACACACACACACCGTATTGCACACACACACACACACACACACACACCGTATTGCTGTCCTATGCACACAGTCAAAATGAGACCCTGACTACACTCACAGTCACCAAGACCTGTGCTCACCAGCCTGTAATTAGGGCTCTATTTGTTCCTGTAACACATAAAAATGACTAGATTTGGTCAAATTTTGTGAAGGACACAAAAACTTACTGGCAATAGTGAACATGATTGAAAAACATAGGCAGCATCCTTTAGGGGTAGTGGAAAGGGTTGTGGAGCCCTGGGAGAGTATCAGCAGAGACCACACGGGAATGACAGAATGCCCTACACAATCTAGTTTGAAGTCTTTTTGCTTGTCCCACCACCTAGCTAGAGGTCACCCCCCACACACACACATATGGTATCCTATCTGTCACCCTCATGGCCAGGAACCAGCCCTCTTCCATGAATACCTCCTGGCAGCAACCATGAGTGCACTAACCTATAGCACTTTGGCATCAATCTCTCACTCAGTCTGGTAAGATTTAAGGTCCCCAGTGTTCTTAAACTGCACACAGACTGTAGGTAAAAAGAAGTACACCCTGGCTAATGTCTCCACAGACCCTAAGACTCAGGGGTGCCTGTCCCTCTCACCACCTGGGCTAAAGTTGGTCAGAGGCACTGGAGGCATGCTTTCTGCCCATTATGCAAAGCTGAGATTCATGTGGGGTGCTCCCGAAGGGCAGATGTATGGCTCAGCACAAAGTTCCTTTGGTGTGTGTATGTGTGTGTGTGTCAAAGGGTAATCTCACGAGTTGTCAAGCAGACTAGGCTGGATGGCTGGTGAGCCCCAGGGATCCACTTGTGTCTGTCTTCCCAGCACTGCAATTACACGTGTGTGCCAGTGCCAATGGGGATCAAACTCGGGTCCTTGTGCTTACATGGCAAGTACTTTATTGAGTCATCTTCCCAGGCCCCCATTTGCTTCAAACCACACCAGTCTACAAATGCAGAAACAGGTCAGTCTGGCACCAGATGAGGAATTAAGAATAAAACATGGCCAAATCTCTCCTTGTCAGTGACCCTGGCTCCAAAAGGGCCTGGCCTCTTGATGCACAGGACCACTGACAGCTAATCTCCAGCATACATAAGTACTGACAGGGCTGCTTCCTCTCAGATTTATTGATCCTTGACTCTCCCAAAGAGGCACCCCCTGCTTTTTCATCACCAAACCTAGCACAAACTCTGTCCACGTGTCTTTGTGGAGATGCAGGAGATGCATATTCACAATGAAATGTTTCAGTTCCAGAAATATATTTTAAGACTTATATTTTCATCTCCTACCACACCCTTGTTTTTCCTGGCAAAGCCATTTGAGTTTAAGGTCTGATGGAGAACTTTCTTTTAATTCCAGCAGAGTAAGGCAATGTTAGCCTGGCAGTTCAGTCTTCACAATTTCCCGACATTCAGGTGAGTTTGTGACCACAAACGTTGCTGAACACCCAGCCTGATAATCTGATTTAAACCTCATTCTTAACTGGAATTCCTTCTACCTGGCACAACTTACCCAGAAATACTGCCCCAGCTTCTCCTTCCTGCCGCCTAGGAAACGGCCTGAGTGGGTCTGTTTTCCACAACTCTGGCTGCTGCTGGTTTTGTCCCTCACAGGTCCACAATGCATACTTTCATGGCACAAAGGGCTTCCAAGAAGACCAAGTTTCTGAGCAGCACAGATCCCTGAGAGCCGGGTCGGGCTGGAATAGTTCCAGTAGTTTCTAACTCTTCACCTCTTCCCATCCCACCCCCAAACGTCTAGACTCCAAGCCAAGGTACCCAGGTTTGCTGGAAGCACCTGAACTTCTGCCCGGTGTTTCCATAGGAACAGGGGCTCCCCGGGTCACCCCGACACACGCTCTATTGTGCTCTCCCGGGACACAGCCCAGAGCCGCGGTGCCTGGTAGTCCCACTTCGAACACCGAAGTCCTCATCGGAACACAAGCCGGCTGCTGAGGGCTTGGTGGGCAGGCGGGAGGGCATCACTCCGGCTCACACCTGGGAAACTGAGGCTCTAAGTCGTAAACTCACCGAGGGCCAGACTGCTGCTAAAAGGGCAGTGCGGGATCAGAACCCGGGTCGGCGTGCTTTCCAGTCTCCACGGTTCCCGCGTGCCTTCGGAGGCCCCTTCTCCCGGGTTTCTGATTCCCCCGCCGCCCACTCCACCCTCGCGCAGCCCGTCCCGCCGCACCCACCTCGTCGCCGAAGCGCACCAGCTTCTGGCCCGTGGGCCCGCGCAGGCCGGGGAAGCGCGCCGGGTCTCCCGCGTCCCCCGCGGGGGCGGGCGGCGGGGCGCGCGACCCCACCAGGCAGCGGTCGATGATCTCGTCCTGCTGCGCGGGCGGTAGCCGCGCCCACTCGGGCCCGTACTTCTCGCGGATCTTCTCCTTGTCCTGCATTATCTTCCTGGCCATGGGGCTCAAAGACGAGAAGTAGGTGAAGCGCTTCCGCTCCCGGTCGTCCAGCGGCCGGTTCCCGCTCATGACCGCCGAGCGCGAGGCCGCGATCGCCGCCGCCATCGACGCCATGCCCGGCCCACCCGCCCCGGACCGAGCGCCTCCTCCCGGGCTGCCAGCACCCGCCTCCTGGGACCCGCCCCTCCCGGGACCCAGCACCGCCTCCCCTGGAGCTCCGCCTCCCTCGGGCGCCAGCACCCCACCTCCTGGAGACCCGCTCGCGACGGAGCGCTGCCTTCCGCAGACCCGCCCCGCCCCGGCCCCGCCCTCCCCGGAGCTCTGTCTCCCGCTCCCCTAGACCGCTGTCCCTTGCTGAAAGTATCTGAATGTCTCCCGGCTCTTTATTGTGCCCGCCTCCGCCCGCATTGTCTCTCCTGGAGAACGGTCCCGCCCCGCGGCTACGCACCGCCCCCGACCTGCCCCAGGCACACCTCCACCCTGCAGCCTGCGCGCGCCCCGCGACCCCGCCCACGAACCTCCCTGCGCTCAACTCTGTCTGGGTCCAGCTCCACAGTCCCGCCCAGATCCCCACCCCGCTTGGAGCCTCCCCTTCCACCCGAGCTTGGCCTGCAGCTGGAGCCCGTCCCCAACTGGAGCCTCGCCCCCGAGCCGGGCGCTACCCCTCCCTTACTCCTCGAGACCTTTGGTTTTCTCTGCTGTGTCAGTGCTTTCCCGGCTGCAGGGTCCGCAAGTTCCCAAGTCCTCGCGTGGCGTTGCAAAGAGGACTGCTGAGGCTAAGGATCGCCATGGCGCCACGTGGTCACTGCGGACAAAGGAAACTTCCTGCACCTGCCCAGCTTGGTGCCTGCTCTTTTGCTCTGCAGTACATTGCATTTTCGGGTTTCCGCTCTGCTTGCTGGGAGGACTGCCACACGGAGCCGTGAGTCCAGTCTGGACGCTGACCCATCAGTGCGCGGCGAGGAGGATGGGGAGGCTGGACTCCTGTCCTTGACAATCTTTAAGAAAACCTCTGTTGAGCCTGGCATGGTGGCATCCACTTGTAATACCAGCAACTCGGCAGGAAGATCGAGGCAAATTCAAGGCCAACCTAGACTGCATGCTAAAAGCTGGGAGCCTGATGGAGGTGCCAGGAAACCTATAGGCCTCTCCAACCTTTATCTTTCTGCTAAGCAGGCCCGAGGTCTTAATTAAATCTCAGGTATACGTCTTTAAACATCACTCCCATTCCCAAACATGGATTAGAGAACTCTATTCAGTGGATTCCAGTACTGAACCTATCAACTTAAGTCAGGAATAAACGAGAAACTAAACTTCCAAAAATGGTCAGGCTGATCCTGGAATCTCAGAAATCATAGGCACTCTGGGCAGCTCTGTTTGCAAACTGAAGAGGATGGAAAGTTTCCACAGAAGGCAGAGGGGTGAATCCCCAAGGGAGTCAGGCCTGTCAGTTTGAAGTTTCTTTTCTTTGCAGACTACACAATTAAAATTATACAGGGCCCTGGCAGGCATGTGTCCCACCCTCAGGGTCCCATTTTCACAAGACTAACAATGTGTCTGAGATAAAACAAAACTAAATGCAAGCTGTGGCTTAGCTGCCTCTCAAGTAGTGCTTCCCTAACACTAAAGATTAGGAAATAACTTGAAAGGCCTTGTTCTAAATGGAATGTCAGGAATGTGGCTGGCTCGGTAATAAAAGATCGCCACCAAGCATGTTATTAAGATACTGAGGATGTGGCAAAGTTTGTAGAGTGCTTGCCTGGCATGCACAAAGCCCTGGGCTCCATCCCCAGTACCCTATAAACCAGGCACAGTGGCTCATGCCTGTAACCCTGACACTCATGATGTGGAGGCAGGAAAATCAGACGTCCAAGGTCATCCTCAGCTACATAGCCAGTTGAAGACCAGCATGAACTATATGACAACCTGTCTAAAAAATAAATAAAGTGGGGACTGGAGAGATGGCTCAATGGTTAAGAGCACTAACTGCTCTTGCAGAGGACCAGGGTTTGAGTCCCAGCACCCACATGGCATACAACCATCTGTAACTCCAGTTCCAGGGAATTCAACGCCCTCTTCAGACCTCTTTGGGAATTGCAGGACATGGGTGCACTTACATGCAGGCAATACACTTACACACATAAAATTAAATTAAATTAAAAGCTATTGGCATGGACCAGGCATGGTGACTCACACCCTAGCACTGGGGAGACCAAAGCAGGAGGACTGCCATGAGTTTGAGACCACCCTTGGCTGTACAGTGAGTTCCACACCAGCCTGGGCTACAGTGTGAGACCATGTCTCAAAATAAATATATGAATAAATAGAATTAAAATTAAAATGTCATCAGTTCAATACAGTGAAGAATTAAGAAAAAGCAAAGCTGTCGGGTGGCAGTTGAAGTTTTTAGTTTGTGAAGTCTTCTTTAAGAGGGATGGGGCATGGTGGTACAGACCTTTGATCCCAGCTCTTGGGAGGCAGAGGCAGATGAATTGCTGTGAGATTGAGGCCAGCCTGTCTCAAAAAAAAAAAAAAAAAAAAAAAGGCTGACTTTTGGGTTATTATTCCCTATTTAAGTGGGATTGTAATGTATCTTGCAGGATCAGTGCACTGATCCAATCCCCTAGTTTTTCTCCAGTAGTCTCAGTTTAATAACACAGATGATGTTTAAAGACATGTTCTTAGATTATGAGTGCTCAGCTGTGAATGAATCATAATATTAACTCCATCCCCCACCCCCTTCAAAGCTCAGGGTACACTGAGTAGGTAGAAAGAATGTGAGAGCAGTCACATGAGAGCTGTGAAATGCTGACTTCTGGACATGACATGGCTGTTGGGCTGTTGCACAGTTCAGCTCACCTCACAGCCGCTGTGGTTACCAGCATAATGATGGTTGCTAAGGGAGGGAGAGCCACCTTCCTTTGAGGATGTGGCCACTGGAAGGTTACCTATGCTCCAGTTGATGGCCCCATACCCATGTGTATATGGGCAGCACCGAATAGACTCAGGTAAGAGGACATGAAGTTGGAGAGATGGCATAGGGGCTCCAGGAGGAATTGGAGGGAGGTAATGGTAGGTGAATATGAACAAAATGCACTGTATAGTAGCTGGAGAGATGGTTCCGTGGTTAAGAGCACTAGCCCTTTTCTGACCTCTGCAGGCACTGAATGCACATTGTCCTAGTTTGTTCTTCATTGCCGTGACAAAACACTCTAACCACTACCAACTTAAGGAGGAAAGGGTTTATTTAGCTTACATATCCCAGATCACAGTTCATCAGGGAGCCCAAGGTAGGAACTCAGGGCAGGAACCTGAAGGCAGGAGCTGGAGCACAGGCCATGGAGGAAGGCTGCTTACTGGCTTGCTCCCCTGGCCCCTGCTCAGCCTTCTTATGCAACATAGGCTCACCTGCCCAGGGGTGGCACCACCCACAGTGGGCTGGGCTCTTCCACATCACTCAACAATCAAGAAGGTGCCCCATGGACATGGCCACAGGCCAGTCCAATGAAGGCAATTCCCCAGTTCAGGCTCCCTCAACCCAGGTGTGTCAAGTTGACACTAAAGCTATCCAGCACACACGGTACACTTACATACATGCAGGTAAAAAAAAACTCATACACATAAAAATCAATAAATTTAAAAAATACATTAAATACCTGACCCCCAATGAATAAAGAAGCTGTCTCACTGAAAAAAAATACATTAAATAAATGTACTAAAATTTCAAAGAATAAAATTACTATTTAAAATTAAGTATTCTTGAAGTTTAGTTAGCATCTGCATGCTTGCTTTGAAATGATATAGGAAGAGTCTTTGGTTTCAGAAAGTTAGGCTCAAGCTGTTTTCAAAGCACTTGCAAAAATAAGTGTTTTTAAAAAAGTGTCTTTGGATCGAATATAATTTACCCAAGAGAAGTTTCTAAATGGTTGTAAATCTGAAGCCAGGTATGATGGTGCCAGCCTTTAATTCCAGCTACTCAGAAGGCTGAGGCAGGGAATCAAAAGTTCAAGAACTGCCTAGGTTATACTGTGAATTCAAGGCCAGCCTGGGCAACTTAGTGAGACCCTGTCTAAAAAAAAAAAGAAAGAAAAAGAAAAAGGACTGGGGGTGTAGCTCAAATGTAAGGTACTTACTTGCCTAGCACGTATAAGGACCTTAGTTCAATCCCCAGAATCACACACACACACACACATACACTACCAGGTAACAATAAAATTTCAAAAATAAAATACTACCTTAGGTATGAGGCCATCTAGAGACACTGGCCGAATATGAAGTTCAGGACACCTCATTAAGAGGCAACTAAGAAACAGTCTTTTAGATTAGAAGAGACTTTGCCAATTAAATTGCTCTACAGAGGACTTAATTAGAAATTAGAAACTTTATGAATCTATCTGCCATGGGAGGAAAAAGCATTTAAACTCTAAATATGTAATGTGGTGCTATATTCTGAATACTTTGTTCCACATGGCATCAGGTTCACATTGAAATCTCAGCTCTTAAGGTGATGATATTGAAAGGCAGGAATGAGGTCCAGAGGGCAGAGTGCTCATGAATGAGAGCTGGGATGGGTTCCCTAGTCACTTCTGCCATGTGATGACGGGTGCACTGAAGAGATGCCATCTAGGAACCAGGAAGCAGTCTCTGAGAGTCTGCTGGTACCTTCAGTGAGGACTTCCCAACCTGGAGAACAGTGAGTACATTTTGTACTTTGTAAGCACGGATTGGTTTACAGTATCCTTACAGGTGTCCCAAAGTTCTAAGACACAGGGTAAAATGGTGAGGTAACACAGCACCACAGATGGATGGCAGCTTACATTGCAGACAGGGATCTCTTATGATCCTGGAGCCTAGAGGCCTGAGGTCCACCACAGCTCGGGCAGGCTCTGGGGAGGGTGCTGTCCTAGGCTGCACACTGCCAGTTTCCCCTGTGTCTTCTCACAGCTATAAGAAGAGTGTGATGGTTAATATTGCCAATTTGACTGGATCTAGACTCACCTAAGGGACAAATCTCTGTGAAGGAGTGTCTAGATTAGGTTAACTAAGGTGTGAAGAGCCACCCTAAATGTGGACAGCACCATCCCATGCATGGGCTGGGGCTCCAGGATGAATAAAAGTCTTTGAGCAACATTTGTCTTTCTGTTTCCTGATTCTGAATGAAATGTGACCA